ATTTGATAATCCTAATGCAAATGATACTACATTATCAATGTTACCATTTACAAAGCATGATGGTGACACCAAGGTACACACATATATAATATAGTAATATCAACCTATATAATCCATAGTATACATGCAGATTTCTTAAAAAGAATAATATAACTATAACAAGTCACAGTTTTGAAGAAAACAAGTGGCTCTCATTGTGTCCTTGCTGGGAGACACCATTGTTTGAGGGTTCAACTGGTCAACAAGGTAATGTTGGAATAAAATTCAACATGAGACCACACATGTAAAAATTAAAAATGCATGGCCATTGTTATAATTTAGCCTAAATAAAGTGGTCTATTTGAAAAAGTTTTAAAGCTTAACAGGGTGTAACTATTATGAAATTAATGTATAGAGACAAGAGTGATATTTATAATTTGTTGAGGGCCGAAACCATAGATAACACAAATTTAAGTCTATAAATAGGGGTCGTGATCCTCGGATTGGGCATAATGAGCAACTGATTATATTCTTTGACCCCTTCTAGAGAACCATAAGGAAGTTTCCAATGTTTATAATTTGGAAGACCATAGTATGCCGATCCATCAACATGTGGAATCTGGCGACAATGGATTTATCTATTCAGGTACGCTTTTGCATTTTATTCTATTTCTCTGAATTGATATGGGATTATATTCAAGTTTATAATTGGTTCCAATTGATTCTATGGTTTGAATATGAACTCAATTGATCTGGAACAACCAATTCCAACAGGTAATAAAGCTATGGATTTCATGGAACTATAGATATTTCACTATATTAATGTATGTTGAACAAATGAAAGTTAAAACAAATCTATCTTAATTTGTGTTTGGATGTCAGAATTCAAAAAACAACAAAATATGACTCCTGTCAATGCGGCGGAAATCCTAGGAAGTTTAGAAGAAAATAGAAAAGCTAAAGGAAAGGAGATTGTAGTCTACAATGATAGCATAAATGAGAAATGACTTCGCCAAATTATCACAGGTATATTTATCATTAGAAATAATAATAATAATAATGAAGCATTTTTCTTAATGGATGTGTGCAATTAATTTTTCATTAACATAATTATTTTTGCAATTTTTATTTACAAGAACCAAGCTCTGCACCTATTCAACTTTTCCTGATGATTCATTTGGATAAATTATTAAACATTTTTTGTGTGAAAGAAAGTTTAAATGAGTTGAATTTCAGGGATATTCTTGGATAAAATAATATAAATGTGCATGTGTGTGTTTGTGATTATTCTATTGATACATATTCACTAATATAATGGACTCACCCTTTCATCTTCATTTCTAATTTGCATGCTATGAATAATCACTCTAATCTAGACTCTGTTGCCTTCATGTCAATTTTGAATTCATGTTGATAATAGATGGACAAGTGTGTTCGTTGGGGAAAAAACTGCTTGAGTACTTTCTTATGTTTGTTGAGATAGCCAACCTAGCTGGAATAGTTTCTAGATGGAGAACTATATGACCATTGCTATGATTGTTGTATGGTTCGAACAAATTTGAAACTTGGGGAATTATCCATTTCTTAGGAAGACTATCTAACTCTTTGGTCAATGGTAATGACTATTATTTGCAAAATCATAAAAAAAAAAAAAAAACTGAATGCCTTCAAACCCATGCTAATCCTTCACCTTATCCAAGGTTTCCAATAGGTTGAACACGTTGGCATTGCCTTCTATAGATTGTTTTTGGTCATTTATTTAATAGAATCCATTGAAAAATATTTTCCTGCACGCTTGATAAGAGATGAATTTTGAATTGGTTTAATATCATTTCCAATTTTAATGATATATTTATATTATATACCGTAAGAACTTTAGTGGAGATGAACTAAAGTTAATGGTGAATTCAGAGTTTTAATTTTTCTTTAAAATAAAAAAAGTTTGATTTTTGAAGTAAAACAGAGGCATCAGGCAAGGCTAGCCACACACATAACTATAGCGAAGGGGCAAAAAGGATTTGATAGTTTATAATTCAGTGGATACCAACACAGTGCTATGAACTATCACGTGATTGATCTAATAATCCTGAATTGAAACAGAGATATGGTTAATGAAGACAGAGACATGGTTTATCGAATGAATTGAATTTTCAAGCAATTAATAATCACATTAATAAAAGTTAAACAAGAAATTTTTCTTAAAAAAGTTAATAATTTTCCTAAACAGTACTCCCTTCAACTCATTAAAAAATTGTCACTTTGAGATTTTTCACACAAATTAAGGAAGTCGTTAAATAATTTTAACTTACTGTAATACTTTTTTTTTTCCCAAAAGTTACCATAATGCTACTTTACTAAAATTTCTTACTTAAATTAATTTAGTGCCTATATTTTAGTATTCGGTTGTGCCTCAAACAAGATAATACCTATTAAAATAAAAAAAAAACCTTTAATAATTACTAGAGTCTTTTCATCATTTTTTAGAAAAAGGAGTCATGGTAGGGTTTTGGTCAATTTCTATGCTAATTATGTGACTTTCAACTTTCAGGGACAATAAACCATTGTTTTAGTTTTTTCTCTTTTCTGCAAGAGGTCTTATATGTTATTCTTTATTTTTTTTTTGAACAAAAGTATAAATTTAATCCTAGCACATAGAATCACTATGTAATTCTATTATTATAGTGAAACTTGATCCATTTATGAAGAACACAATACGATTAATGTTTTAATAAAAAAATATAAAAGAAAATTACATGCAAAATTTAAAGAATTTATTTGGAAAAGTAGCCTAAAAAGAGAAGCAGGGGCAACGATGGTGGCTTCTTGAGTTTGAGAAGGAGATTGCGGTGCAAGGGAGAGGGAGACGAGTCACGAGTAGGGCCGAGTAAAGCCTTCAGCTTCAGTCTTCAACTTCAGATCATGACACCGGTGATGAGAGTCTTGATGAGAGGAGGGTGAACTAGAGAAGTTGAGCTCGAGAGTTAGAGATGAGAGGGGCTGAGTGATGCTAGCGGCGAACTTGAGTTCAGCAAGAGTTTAAATGCGAAACTGTGAATGATGAGGGAATGAGGGTTTTCTTTTCTGGAGGCAGAGGGTGAATATATAGCATTTGGAAATGTTTTTTTTTTTTATTTAATATGTACAAATGAACCTCTATATGGGTCAAGCCGGGCAACCTGAGGGGTAATCTGTAGCTTACCCCACCCGTTTACATCAAACACAAGCTAGACCTTAAATTTAGCCCAGCCATTTTGATTGACGGGTCACGGGTTGCCTGCTCATCTCTACTAATGATAGTGCTGTCTGGACAAAAACATTGTCTGCAGACAAAACATCTATAGAAGGGTGAACCGATTCAGCTGTGGATCCTATTTTAAATAAGCTTGCACAGCGCCAACTGGCCCGGTCTTGCTCCCCTTGTTCCTCAGGTTCCTGCTTTGGATGCACTGGGTTCTTCCTTGCCTACCTCCAATGGCATCCGCAGTCATATTCGTTGTCATTCAGAACAAAAATAGGGGTGTTGATAACTTGCCGGATGCTTTTGATTTTGGTGGTGCTCTTGGTTTTGCGTAGAGCCGGGAATAAGGGCCGGGCCTGGAGGGCCGGGCCTGAAAGCCCTGTTTAAATAAGGGTTCGGGCTTTGAAAATAAATTTTTTTTAAAGTAATCGGGCTTGAGGGCTTGGCCCTGATAAGCCCTGTAAAATAGGGCTCGGGCCCGGGCTGCCCTTCAAGCCCTGTTATATTATTTTTATTATTATTTTTTTTAGTAAAACATGTGTTTAAAATCAATGACCTGCTCACCTGATACTACACACATTATATTATTATTAATTTTAATTTATTCTAAAATTAATTTAATCTAATTTAATAAATATCAGTGTATAGTATAAAATTTATGATATTTTTTATTTTTCTATAATTATTATGTTTGTATATTTATAAAAAAAATGAACTATTTTTTAAATGAAGATTTAAATTTTATTACTAGACTTCTAATGCATGTTATTTAATTTTTAAAAAATTATGATGATTTTAATTTTTTAATTTTAAAATATTTTAATTTATTTATAATGTTTAATTTTATTTTAATTTTTTATTTTTTAAGAAAGGGCTTACGGGCTTGGCCCTGAGCCCTGAGTATGAGGGCCGGGCTTGAGAAATGGGGGTCAAAATGGGAAACCGGGCTTTAGGGCCCAGGCCCTAAAGGGCCGAGCCCATAAGGGCCAGGCCCTTTAGGGCCGGGCCCGCCCGTATTCCCAGCTCTAGTTTTGCGAGCTCTGCCTGCAAAAAACCTCGCACCTCGCTAATATGAAGATTACCCTCCAAATGCCTAAAATGGCTGCTGGCTTCTCCTCCTTTTGTCTGAGGGTTCGCGAAGTTACAAAGGTCTGTGGACCATTGGTTCAAAGTTGCAGCTCTCTGGCTTTACGCCACTTCATTAAGAATGTTTGAGTCCCCTCTCCAGTACCTATAAGGTAGAGTTGTGCATGCATGCACCATTGAACATAGGTACAACCATACCTTTTATATGCCTGCATCCTTTGCTGGTGGGTCTTCTTCACACTTACTACCAAAAACTTCACACGGCCTTCTTTGAAGATTTGGGCTGCTTGCTTGTTTCGCCTCCCCCACCCCCCTTGAGGCAGTTGAGCTTTCTCAGCCTCTATGTTTTCATTAGTTTGCTTTTTTTTTTTTTTTTTTGCCATAATCACTTGGTTGGGTCATTTTTGAAATATGATTTGTATTAACTGTGGTAGTAATGAATAAAAGTTTGACCTTTGATTAAAAACAATATTTCGCCCTTTTCAATATCAAAATAGTTAATAATTTCAAGCTGTTGGCTTGATTTTTGAGGAAAGGGTTGGAGCCTTTCAACCCTAGGGGTGTGCGCCAGGTATCCTGGAAGAGTGGGTCTTTGAAAGTGAGTCAGATCAAACAATCGAGCAAATTTTCAAAGTTCTTTACCACAATTTCCTTAAAGAGTTAAGTATGTGCAAGAACAATAACAGGTGCACCATGCTGAGTATAAATGTTAATGGTATTACAAATGAAATGAATACAATTGGGTGCTTTGTGAAGACGAAAAGGGAAATATAGATGCAAAACTAGCCTAGGAAGCTGAGCTAGCACAAAGAAAGTAGTTCATGCTAGGCGAGATTGGATGAGACAAGGTCAGGACTGGTATTTTGCACATTGCAAGTCTTATGTAAGTTTGACAAAATGTTGAAAGTCTATCAATCATGCATTGTTGCCTATTTATAGAAAAATGGCAATGATACCCTCCTTATAAATTCAAGTTTGGTGTCATCAGGAGCAAATAAATGTTCGTGCCATTTTGTGTCTAAAGGTGCACCTTGTCGTGGAAAGTGGAGAGAGTGAGTGTGCCGAAATGCTCGAGTCGTGAGAGAAGTGGGTAAGGCTATGTCACTTCTTACCTAAACTCGTCACTCCACTTGACTCTGCAAAGTTGGCTTGCAGCGAGGCCATCTCTCTTCATGGTTTGGACTGCTGGGCCTTAGTCGTTTTCCTCTCAGGCCTACTGCACCAATTTTAGTTCAAACACAAGCTTATCCAAATCACTGTCTTTGGCAAAATTTTCACATAAAAAGTCAATAATGTCAAGCTTATACAAATCACTGTTGTTGACAGAATTTTCACATCCATCCTTGTATATTTATGCAGTAAATATATAAGGAAAAAGAAAATGATGAAATTGTAACTAAGTCTTAAAAAAGGGGGGGGGGGACAACTTGATTGCAATATTGGTCCAACAATGATGCAAGAGTCCATTAACCACCTTTGAAAGGAGGAGGAGGGAAATGCAGAGCAAGGGGGAAAAAAATGAATTCCTTTATCCCAAAGAAACCTTGGACTAGGATTGAATCAAACACGATTATCATTGCTCCCCCCACCCCCCCCCCCCTAAAAATCAAAAGATTGAAAAGGTTTTGTATCTAAATTTTAGATATTCGAGATCTAAGGTTTTGTAGATCAAAAACTCCTTGAAGATGTATTCAATTAAAAAAAAAAAATCAAGGTGCTCAACCTATGGTCTACCAAATTTTTTAACTAGTTGTGTGGTAGGTTTCCATGGGGAAAATAATTAAATGTATGTAATATGAAAGTAAAAAAAAAAAAATTACATACAGACAAACAATAGAATGAGAAATAAACTAACTAGAAATATTTTGGGGAACAAGAAATAAAATGACCATTATTGCAGAACCAACTCTCAATACTCAAAACAAAGGATAGCACTCTATGAGAAGTGTACATATTTGCAACCTTAGGCCTTAACTCTCTGGAAAGAGGAAGACAGTATCCTGAAGAGTCCATCTGGGTTATCTGCATGTACCTGTTCAACATGCAAAGTTAGTTTCCTTGAGATTTAAAATATATAGCCATTTGAAGTGTAATTAATTAGGCCCAATCGAACATTGGGCAATAAATCTATCTACATACGACTCAATTAACTCACAACTATGTATAAGGTGTGTTACAACAACAAGTCTTATCCCACTAGGTAGGGTCAGTTACATAGATTACATAACCTATTATCCTCTATTATCAATCAAGCCTTTGGGAATATTGTTAATTAAGAGATCTTGTTTAACAACTTCTATGGGTATTATCTTTAGTCTTCTTCTAGCCCCCTTTATAGAATGTTTATAACTGGCCTCAAGTCAGGATAAAGGAGGGTTGTGTTGTCCTTGATAGCCAAAATAAAACTTTGTCAAATCTCATATGGATTTTGACAATAGATGTTTTTATGTATAAGGTGAGCAATTCGAGGAAATTGTGCCCTTGCCATTTGAAAAATAAAATATACCATTTATATATAAATTGCTTAAAATTGTTTTCTGTGCGCACGCGCATTTGACTTGTCTCAATGGTGGACGTTTGTCTCTAGGATAAATATAAATGTGAGATGTTCAAAAGTTCAAGACCAACAAATGACAAACACGGAAGAAAGCTTAAAGATCGACATAACTAAAAAAAAAAAAAAATGGTTGGCAGGTTTCCAACTATTTTTCCCAAATTTCAGATTTCGTTAAACGTGCATATTGGGATGAATAGAAAGACAACAAGGAATGCCATTACGAAATATGAGACTTGTAATACTTTTATTATTGCTAAAAGTATCTATCTATCTATTTTTAATATTAAAACAGGGACACAACTTCAAAACATGTCAAACAAGACAGTGAACGACATGCAAAGGGCAAAAGCATACTCCAAGTAACTAACTTACCCAGTGGCCGGCATCTTCAAGAACATGCATTTCAACTCCCCCGCCTTCCTCAGCAGCCAGCTCCTCAGCTGCATGGATTCGTTGAAGATCTTCAAGAGCCCATCTATGTAGACTTCTTTCTGCTTTCAAAAAGTTCACATGCACGCCACGAGGAACATCTTCAACAATTTTCCTATAAGAATAAAAAAGGACGTTAAATTATCATTGACTTCAACAAACTTTTCCAGAATGCATTATTTTTATTTATGTTTTGTTTCTTATATTATCAATTTAAACATTCATAAAAGCACTAAATAAGGAATATTTTCAACAGCTATGGAGTCTACACTTGTCATTTAACTTGCAAAGGCAATTTGTATCATGATAACTTGCCAAGTACCACAAATTTGTTTCTTCATATGATTGATACATTTCATCGATCCCCTTCAGGTCAATCATCCATGAGAAGCTCGATGATCGGGAGCCAAAAGAACTGGTTGGTTGTAGGTTAGTGACTACCCACTGCATCCGAGTAAATAAATATAAGAAACTTAGTATGAAATAAAACTATTGCCAGGAGAAAAAGAATACTTCTCTCTCCATTTTCTATTTGTATAATGAATGCCTTGTCTTTTTTGTAAGTTGATAAAGACAAAAACCTATGTTCAATTAGTTATCAACTGGCCTGCTCAACAAACCAATGCAATTACTTCAATTTCTTATAAGTTGATAGGGATATTGTACATAGAATACAAATTGGGTCGTTTAAATAGATAAAGGCTAAAGGCATTATTTGTGATCCAAAAGATACCTAAAAAAACATAAAGGAAAGTTTATCGAACTATCACAACACTAGCCATGTTATATGGTAATGAATGTTGGACTTTAAAGAGACAATAGGAACATAAAATTGGAGTAGTAGAAATGAAAATATTGAGATGAATGTGTGAAAATACACAAAAAGATAAAATCCGAAATGAGTATATACGATGAAAAGTGGGCGTGGTATCCACTGAGGGCAAAGTGGTATAAAATCATTTTAGATGCTTTGAACATGTAAAGAAAGGGCCGTAGGAGGCACTGATGAGAAGAGTGGAACATATAATTGAGCCCAATAAAGAGGGGTAAAGAAAAACCAAAGAGAAACACTTATTAAAATTGTTGAATAAGACCTTTTAAGTAAAAATATTCCTAAAAAGTTTGGTAAATAATAGATCACAAGAACATCATGTAATCCATGTAGTCGATCCCACCTAGTGGGATAAAGCTTATTGTTGTTGTTGTTTTGAAAGAGCACATATTGGCCTTAGGATTTGATGATTAATAACTAATTTAGTCGTATAGTAGCATACATTTTACAATCAATATAAACATTTATATATGAAAAATCATTGCAAAAATTAAACATCTAATCTATATAGTTTATTTCAATTTTGAATTTGGTTCTTGTATTTACTTCTAACAATCAATAAGTTTTTTTTTTTTTTTTTTTTGGATGTAACATTTCATTTGAAGGTTTTAAGGTTTGGTAATAATTGAGACACAAAAGAGAATAGAAGAAGAAAAGTTGCGGAACCCAACCTTAGAATGTAAAGGAGATAAACATAGGGCATGTGGGTTGCAATCAGTTCAAGATTTTTCAAGGGGGAGGCATGGCTTGTTTGGTTGGAAAACTTAGAGGGGAGTGGAGGCAAATTTTTTATTCTCTCACCCCTCCCTTTATTTAGCTCCCTAACAATTTGGAGGTTTTTTCAGAGGGGATGCAAACTTTTTGACTATTTGCCATTACTAACTTTGTTATACTCTAGAAACACACATGCTCCAAATAAACAAAAAATCGAACAAAACCTCACTGCTGAATATTTATCATACAACATCGCTTCTTCTCATCTCACTATTGCCTCAGAGGTAATTTAAATTCTTCCCCCCCTTTCCCCTTCGATGAACCAAATACTACCAATGAGTATTAATCTTCATGCTTTTCCCTTCCTCTGCTTTTTAATTCAAGGGTCCGAGAGCTCAAAAGACTTCTAATCAATAAGTCAAGAAAATACTCCATAATAGGATCGAAGATAGGAGGGAACGCATATGGTTTTCCACTCCACAATATGCCTCTGCTCCAAAACTCATAGCTACAATAGTTTCATATAAGTCAAACTTGAACATAGTTGTATCATAATTCCTGTTGAGTAACTTGATTAAAATATTAATATTGCATTCTTTTCACTTTTAATCAATTTAGCAGTAGCATTCCAACAAAATATAGTATTGCAGCTGGTGTAAACAAATATCAGCAGAATGAGGAACCAAATTGCAGTTAATATTGATGTACCAAGTTGGTATGTACCTGAGCAACATCATTAGAAAATCCTTGTTGAATAAGAGCTTTGACAACTTCCCTCTTCGAAGAGACCTTAAGAAAAAGATAGAAGAACAATTAAAACCGTTCTCATAAAACCAAAGAAGTTAATAGATTTTAGCAAGAATGGTAGGCAAAAAGTTAATATTCTACTACAGGACAACAAAGGCACTTTGAGAACCTTAATGAATTTTTTTTTTTTTTTGGGGGGGGGGAGATGAGAGTTAGCGTGAATGACATACCCAAATTGCAGAGAAATACATTTTCAGATAGAAAAAATACACGTGATTAGCAAGACAACATATAAGGATTGGTATATCCTCTAAAAATCAAGGAACATAAATATTCCCCCATATCTCTTGTATAAGAAATAGCCAGAGAGCCCGGAGCAGCTTGATTATTCTTATATAAGAAATAGGGATCAGAAATTACATGCTATCATTGCTCGCTTACACTCTCAAAGGAAAGGTGGAGGGGGAGAGGAAGTGAAAACAGAAAAAACCAAGCAATCTAGTAAAAATAAAAATAAAAATAAAAAAGTACCATCTTGTTAAAAAGGTTACAAGAACAACATCAAACTCGAGTCAAGCAATACCCTCTCCCCTCTCCAACAACTACTCAAAAGACTCCGTTATCACAATCCTCTCTTATAGGCTTCTATTATTACGCAGTGGATTTAACACACAACATATGCAATAAGATGAAACTTAACACTGAGCAATAACTTTAACAGTAGGTTCTTTGTTTTTCTTTTTTTTTTTTTTTGCCAGTACAGTAGGTTCAACCTTATACACAATAAAATACGCCACATCTCTTGCTGGAACATAGAGAACACCCGCACAATCTCAGGAATCATGAGAACACCAATGCAGGCAAATAGAACACCAGAAACCAAGTTTACAGCAACACACTCAGCCAAATAGCATAACACCACATGAAGAAAATAACAGAAGACCGAAAGCTTCAAAATGAAGAAAAAAATATCAGGAAAAGATTCTGAGGCTTCCCCTCTAAAATTCCAAGAAACAAAATTCATAAAAAACACTGTAAAAGGGGGAGAAAACATGCCAATCAACGCAATCAAAGAGTCATTTGAGATGGCTTAAATATTAGGCACGCACATATTAACCATATCTGCAAAGCTAGGGTGCGGCTCAACTATGGTGGTTAAAGATCTTTTAGATGCCTTCTTTAATCCCTAAATCATAACATGCTACGTGATAGAACAATCCCTATAGGCACTGCTTGCCTAACAACGGCTGACTTTTTAAATACAAGTGTTATGCCCTAGGCTGGCACAAGAGCTAAGTCATTCATACTACAACACAGAAAATATCATACACTAATGATCATTTAATTATTAACATAACCTGGGATGTCAAATGCCAATTCACAGTCTACCAAGAAATTTAATTAGATTCCTCAAAATGAATCTTAATAACAGAATACTTTTTTTCCTGTTGAATAAGTTTCATAATACAATTTATAGAGTATGTATGGTTGTTCAGGAATATCTAAGAATCCCTAAAACTTTGTAATATTTTTTAATTTTGTTTTCAACTGGTTAAGTCACAGTCACACCTAATCACTGTAAAACCCCCGCCCAATATGGTCAGGATAAACATAATACCAAAAGTTAACTCAAAACTAGCAAGAGTCATGCTAGAATGCAATGCATATAATATATTAGACAGCAGAAATGCAAGAGGTTCAAGATGGACATACTTGTGCACCATCAGATTCAATGTTTCATCATATTCATAGTATTTATCACCATATTCCTATGTTTGTCAAATTTTTTTTTATCATATCACTATCTTAATTATGCATTATTAATGTTTAGCAAACTATTGTTCAAACACATACATGACACGCTAGAGCATTACCAGACCAATGACAACCGTTGCACGCCTCAGTCTATGAATCAAGTCTAATTGTTACACTAGGTCTATAGATACTGGAAAACATATGAAAAATTTAGAATGGGAAAATGCAAGGGAAAGAAAAGAATATCAATATCTCCATGGGTTGGTGTGACAAAAAATTTCTATTAGCATTTGGCTTGTTAGGTACTAAGGAGAGCTTCTAATTATACTAATATTGAACTACTGGTACAGGAAGTGTTACTAAAGAATGCACTCTTGTATGAATTATTAAATATTTGTGGTTTCCTGATTGAACCCTACTTGCATCCCTCTAAGTTCAGCTCTCGCCCTCTCTTCTATTCCTTTTTCTATTGTTTGATTAGATTCTGTCATCTTTTCTATTTTCTCTCTTTTATCCTGAATCAATATGCCCAAGCAACATGTTCCGAAGGAGCACAATCATATGTAACATGATGAACGAAATTATCATCAATAGTTTTATTAAATTTCGCCAAGGACACATTATTGGAGAAAAGCAAAAGAAGAAATCAGAGATCTACTACCTCATTAGGCAAAGTATTTAAGAATGATATGAGTTCTGCAGGGTGGTCCTCTCCATTTCCACCAGCTCGAACTTTTCCAGGAGTTGCATCCAAAACCCAGACCTTGAAATAGCACATAAGCAAATAAGATACAATTCAGTGTCACTGATACATAAATACAAACAAACAAGAGAAAACATAAGCATAAAAACCATATTTAACTTCCATTAACCGATCCCTATTCAAAGTGAATGATAGTAGACGCAGTCCCTCTCATGCACCCCACAAATTGGATTTGGAAATGGTGAAATACACACAACTCCTAGGCCTTGCAAACTAGGCAATTAGAAAATCGGATCTACCAGTCTAGAAAATATTATTTTCTGACAGTTTCCCAATATCTCATTAAATATACAAGCCAAAAGAACTGTGTGAGAATATCTAAATTTATCGTAAATATTTTAGCCTAATTATTAGGGATTATTGTTGATTATCAGGAGTTATTACCATTTATTACTTTGTCTCTCAGCTTCGTGTATATATACTGATTGTAACACAGAATTTGCATAAATAAGAAATATATATCTCTCAATTGCCACAAAGTGGCTAGAACTTTATCACGCTCAAAAAATAACCTTGATTGCAGATGCTTGGAGCTACCCAAGAGATCCTCATTTGACGTTCTCATGGTACACACTCTTACGAATTCAATCCTATCAGGGAATTTGTTCTAAATGATTTTGCCATAGTAGGAAATTTGCCCTGTGGATTACCTTCAGATCTGAAGCTGTCTACTGTGCATTATACATATATCCTATGGTGTTAGGATGATCAAAAGATCTTTTCTTCCCAACGCCCCTCATTTTACCTCCCTATATGCTTGTCAAGTTTTGTCAAGACCACTTGGCGGGAGAAAACATACTCAACAATAAATTAGCATTTCTAACGCAAAGGGAAAAAAAACAGTTGAACTTATTTATTTCCCTTCAAATTTATAAACATCCAACAATTACATAAGGATATTGATAACACATATGGTTAATTGAATATTGTATCAGTAATCAAAATTTAAACTTACTCTAACTGGCCGAGCAAGAGGCTTTGCAGCTTGATCCACCATGCTCAAGACAACTGGGAAAATAGAGCAATCAAGTAAAATAACTCACAAGGATAGCTACAGAGAATAGCATAGATGTTCCAAATGACACCACTCTATACTCAAACCAAATTTAAAATAAAAGTGAAGCGGGAAAAACCTTTTCCTCCAAAACTATGACCAACCAACACACGAGGCGTTATTCTTAGCTCTCGCACCTAGAGAAAAGAACAAAAAGGATGTCATTAATGAAGTGAAGATAAATTTTAAGAAATTGTTAGGTTTTGACATAAATAATTGTAGCAGTGGTAGAAGAAAAGGAAGATGTGCTTTTTAAGAATGTCACAACAGAAGAGTAAGGCAATGTCTAATGTCTAGAAAGTAGCAATGGTACCTTTTCAAAAGGCAAGCATATTTGAGGAAGATATACTACATGAATAAAACATATGCAACCAAAAATACAAAGAAAAATGAGATAAAGAGGCTCAATTGGAAACAAAAGACAAATGAAGAGTTTGTTTATGTAACAGAAAAGAAGTCATTCGATAAAATTAAATACAACAAATAAAAACCACACCACTCCGAAAACAATAGGTAAATTTTGATGAAGTATGAGTGGTCTCAATAAGACGAAGATTATTACACTCAGCAACTTCATTTTGGTGCGAAGTGCACATGGAGTTTGCTAAGGAATCCTATGTCAAGACACAATTTTTGAAAGGGGAAGACAAATATTCCTTAGCGCTGTCACTGCATAAAATAGATATAGAAGTGGCAAATTGATTCTGTTCAAAAAATAAAAAAGGGGAAAACTTCATTTATTAAAAAACTTAGAATTTAATTTATTTTGAGCGTTAAATTAAGATAGGTATATTAGGATTTATCGTGTATATTGTCAAGATTTAAACAAATAATAATGTGAATATGAATAAAGTGTATCTTATCTTTTAGAATTATAATAGTTTCATTAGGTAAACAAATCCTAGGATTACTGATTTTTATTCACTTTTTGCCCGCTGAATCAGACAATTGAGAATTTCAATCACTCCCTCCCCCCCCCCCCAACCAAAAAAAAAAAAAATCTTCTACTCCTCCCTCTTGCTCCGTCCCCCTTCCCCTTCTTCCCTTTCTTTTACATCAAACCCTCAAGGTGGTTTAAAAGGCAGTTTATCTGCAAGCTTAATTTAGGGTTAAAATACAAATGTGTCAACTTTATCAAGACAACTAATAAGTCTATTTAATACCAAAACATCATAGGGTAAAAATAGGTGCTAGCGTTTTACCAAAAGAAATGTAAATTGATGGATTCAAATGAGAGATCCATAAAGGTTGAGTGCACAAGTTAACTTCGATAAAGGACATAAGATATTTAGGTACCACCGTCAGCTAACATATATAATTCCAAAGGCACTTGTATGAAAACAAATTATGACAAATCCTGAAGAAATCATACCAGCTTCAAAACATCAAGAGCAGCAGAGGCAACAGTATGAGGGCCCCTCTTTTTGATTGATGCTGAATTGCCATGACATCGCAGGTCTACTAAAAGAAACTGTCAACAAAAATCAAGTTATGGAATTGAGATACATCTAAGTCAAATGCCCCATCTGGCTACAATGTTCGAAATAGATTCTCAATCCCTGGCACAAGAATCAAATTATGGCATATTTATATGCTCATATTATCATTACTCAACAGCAACTATCTCTTTCCATATTTTTATGCAAGGGCACAAGGGGAAGTTTTCTCACTCACAATCATTTTTCTTTCATTTTACCCCCTTTTTTGTTCCACTTTATTCTACATAGCAAACGGGTAATAAATATTCTTACATCTCACTGTGCAGCAATGAATCCTAAAATAAATAATTCAAAATGTGTCATGCAAAGTCCACAGATCAGAGCTAACATTGTCTGGAATAACTGCTATAAGAAATTAATGCCTAAAAAATTCAAAACATAAAAAATGTGGAAAAATACCTGCCATGTAGGAAATTCTCGAGCCAATTTCTGAGCAAAAGTTCCTGCAATATCATACCTTTTAGAAATGCATGTGAAAACTAGCAAACTCATTCGTTTCACAAATTTACATCTCTTGATGCATGCTTTCATCTCTTAATATTATTAATTTATTGTCAAAATCCGATTCAATGCATACTTGATGTATCATATTGGTCCCCAAAGAAATATTTCCACAACATACATCTGAAAGTTCCAAGATCCTTTGGTTGATGAATTTAACCCAAATCCATGAACTCTGACTTAGCATGCTGATTTGATTAATCCCTCTACTGAATCCTGACTAGAACCAGACATTTGGCCATTTTCTTCCCTTCTTCCTTCTTTTATTTTCTTCTTATTGGTGAATCTCATGTCTTAAAAGTTTACAGTGTAAATAGTTCCAAGATCTCAAAATTTGCTGGGAAGTAGAATTCCAAAAAAGATTCAGTCTTTTACAGTTATGGGAAAATTACATATAGGCCCCATGAAAAAGACTTATTTACAACTAAGCCCCACAAAATTCAGAAACTATAACAAGGTCCCTTGAAAGCAGAGTGTAATTTAAAATTGGGGTCAAATAACAATAATGCCCCTGTTAAAAATATATTATATCAATCAAATAATTTACAACTATTTCATCAGTAATTTATAATTATCACCTAAACTTTTTACAACTATAACTTCACATATTTAATAGTTAAACCGATATGCATTGTTAAAAAATTTAACACTAATTATTTACAACTACCTCATCGCTAATTTATAACTATCATATCAACTATTTACAATTGTAATTTCGCATATCTAATAGTTAAAAGGTTTGAATATTTGATGTAAAAAGTTGAATTGATAGTTGTAAATTATTGATGAAATAGTTGTAAATTATTTGATTGATATAATATATTTTTAATAGGGACATTGTTGTCTCTACGCCCTAATTTCAAATTTCATTCAGGTCCCTGGGGCCTGACTGTGATTTCAACATTTCGTGGGACTTATTTGTAAATAAATCTACTCCACAAAATTTATATGTAATTTTCCCTATAATTAATTTATCAGAAACTGATTGGAACTAGTGAAATAGGAAATGCACTAATTAGTGAATATATGAAAAGATAGAGGTCCTATGAAATTTTAATTGATTCACTTGGGAAATGTACAATTCCTATTTCATTAATTCCAACTCTTTACAATCATAAAAGGCTCATGAATAACATGCAAGACGTACCCCAGTTTTTCCTGCTACCTAGGATCCCATGCAATAAAACAGCTGTTGGTGGATCAGGTAAAGGCCTGTCCATTGCAGAACTCCATCTCACCTGGACACCAAAATGTTCCTGTATCTTAGTGCAAATGATATGCCATAATATCCTCTTTGCAAAAACATTATCAAGAGACACAATTATTTTCCTTTTATGAAGGTTCCATCTAAAATCAAGCAGAAAAACAAAAGAACAGGTTAATGATCCCCATTGATGTCCAACTTTTAACAATCTTTTCTCCCAGCAAGCATCCTGATACAGAACTGAAATTTTTTAGCACAGATCCTCTAAAGTTTTTCTATCATATTTTTATTAGACGATGAAACATTTTTTTTATTATTACAAAGAGACAGAGTATACTTCCTCTTTTGGGACAGGATCACACATGACAAACAGTAACTGTTAGAGCCCTGGAACTAGTTCCTTGAACACTCCAAACTTCTCTATTCAAACCAGAAATAGCAAAAGAAAGAGAACAGATGCAACAGAAATTGGGTTACACTGCTCAAAATTTTAGCTCTGAATCACCTTTTTTTTACAAGGTAGCTTCTTATTTATATTGCTCTGAAAGTCAAGTCAACGTTGAAACTCAAGTCAAGTAGCATAATGAAGCTGTAGCAACTCCCTGACCCAAGCATTTTGCACATAGCAGTATCTAAAGCAAGTTGTTTGTGTTAGTACAATGTATGAGAATTGGATTTAGAGTTGTTGATTCTTTTCTGGTCCTGGGAAAAGTGGGATGGGTGGTTTGCACGACATAGAAACCACAACCCAGCAGTTGGCAACATTTACTAGATGCTCCCTCAGTAAACATGAATGTCATGGCCCCATGTTCAGCAGAGCAATCTCATCTTTTATGGTATACTTTTCATTACAAAACTAACGTGGCAAAAAAGTAGCTTTACACTGCAGTAGCCTGAACGAAATCAAAGCTAGACTGACAAACTGTAGATACGTCCTACTAAAAGGAAACAAATCCAAAATAGCAATGGCCTCTCCTACCTATGACCAACTGAACATGACAACAATGAACAAAAGCAGCAACTGAAGATAAAGAACCCAGCTGCTTTGGCTATTTTATAAAATTTCTTGTTTTGTTCACTTAAAAAATTCAGTGAAATGTGTTCTGTTGGAATAGGATTTAATAGAAAACTATGAAGCACAAACACTTCGATAAAAGAGCCACTTTCATGCCTGGCACATAGCAGATACTCTTATTAGACATGACATGATACATTGCATACTTCAAATTACAAGACAACACTTCAAGAGTTGTTGTGCCATTGTGTCTTCTTTGTGTTATTATCCACACTTCCTAGGTAGAAAATATTTTCAGCAAATGATTCTTAAACGTGGAAACAAGAACCAAAAAAATTATTTTATTCACCATTTTCACTCAAGACACAGGAAGTAAACTGTAATTATAAGAAATGTTGATAAAAGAAAGTTTATAGGGAATAATTTGCCAACATATTTTGAAAACATATTAAACTAAATATACAAAGTATGGTAGAAAATCGGTTGAGATGGTTTGGCATGTACAAAGAAGACCAAGGGAGGCACCAGTGAGAAGAGTGGAACATATAACTTTGAGTCCGATTAAGAGAGGTAGAGAAGGCCTAAGAGAACACACTTAGAAGTTGTTAAACGTGATCTCTTAATTAATAATATTCCTAAAAGCTTGATAAATGATAAAGCACAATGGCGTCTTGCAATCCATGTAGCCGACCCCACCTAGTGGGATAAAGGCTTGTTGTTGTTGTTGTTGTTGTATACAAAGTATGAAGTATATAAAAGTAAATATGAAACTGAAAACTATTTGTGAAAGATTGAGATTGAGATTGTGTGTGTGTGTGTGTGAGAGAGAGAGAGAGAGAGGTCTTCTCATGCACACCCTAACTGCTTGCATGGCAGCCTAAGACCAATCAAACATCATACAGATTTGTGCAACACTTTAAAAACAAGAGCATGCCAAAGTGCATTGAATGAATATAAAACATTTTCTCACTAGAAGGCAACAATTCTACTCTTAGATGCGCTTGTGAACCAAGAAACAGATAATACTTACAAGTTCTCCTTGAATCAGGTCATATGCCTGCAAAGAAACAACAAAAACTTTAGTTGAAAGAAACAATAATAGAAATGAATACATGTTCTCAATAGTCCTAAAAGCTTGATAAATGATAGAGCACAATGGCGTCTTGCAATCCATGAAGCCGACCCCACCTAGTGGGATAAAGGCTTGTTGTTGTTGTTGTTGTACATGTTCTCAATAGTATTTAAGATGTCCTGATTCTGGCATCTAGCTACTTGACATATTCCCCCAAAAAAAAAAAAAAAATTCATGGCTGGCCAACTTTACATCTAGAAAATTACGAAAAAAATTTGCCATTGTGCTTCTATCTATGCAACTATGAAATAAGCATGACAATGCATGCAAAGAGCAGTCAAATTACCAAGATACCAGAAGAAGAGCTGACAGCATTGCCTTTGTGCACAGGTTTTTCATCCACTAATGCCATTGATATTTTCTGGTATTTGACTGTTCTGCTACAGAAGCTAGGAGCCAACTGGCAGACATTGAATTTATCATTCTACAGCAGAAAGAAGGGGGGAAATCAGAGAATTATAGAAGAACTTCAGCACCACAATCTTTTCAAGTGCTGCAATCTCCTCTGAAATTACCACATTGATGAGACTACCAATGAGCTCATCTCAAAGTCAGTCAAAAACAGAAAGTAAATTCTTCTGTTCATAGATTGTTGTAATAATAAAAGAGATTGAAGTAATATTAAGTTTACTAACATGGATTGGCAGATCGAAGCAAGGCATGGGTATAGAGAAAGAAACATGTATGCAGATTGGTTAGCCAAGTTTAGTCTTAAGCAGAATAATAAGTGTAATTTGTTACGAGAGCCTCCCAGGGAGCTCTTGAAATGGTTGTATCGAGATGTTAGGAGGTTTTCACACCCTCATGTTGTTTCTAGTTAAATAATGTTGCCTGGTCTTTTGCACCATATTTTATTAACAAAATAAATAAATAAATAAAAGAGATCAACTGAAGAGGAAATGCCTATGCACCAAACACTAATTTTTTTAAAAATGCCCCTCAAATTCACGTTACTGTCATATTGCTCATGCAAGCAGTTTCTATTTTCCACATACATAAAGTATAAAAATACTCATGTGATGTGCTGCTATGACACACAGCAACAGATAACATAATAAACCGCTTATAATAATAGTAATTCCTAGACAATCTCACAGAAGTGTCTTGCATCATAGAAGGAAAATAGTTCCTTAGCACTGAGGCATACATCTTATACATGTGCACATGTTGAGAAAACTTTTAATAGACATATTTGATATGAATCATAATATCTAATGTCCTGGATGTGCTTGGATCACAGGTTGCACAAGTAAATCTTTGACTTAATTTGACTGAACGCCTACAACATAGACTCTTTGTTTCACAAGGCCAGCAACAAGAAGCCTTAGTCCACTAGGTGAGGTTGGTTATATGGATTGTATGATGCCATTATGCTCTATCATTTATCAAGCTTTTAGAAATATTGTTAACTAAGAAGTCTCGGTCAACAACTTGTAAAGGTGTTCTCTTTGACCTTCTTTTATTACTCTTGGTGGGGTTTAAAATTATCCGTTCCACTCTCCTTACAAGTGTCTCCCGTGGTCTTCTTTATACATGTTCAAACCATCTCAAATGATTTTCTATCATTTTTCCCTCAATAAGTGCGATGCCCACTTTTTTTTGTATGCACTCATTTCAGATTTTATTTTTACATGTATATCTACACATCAATCTCAACATTCTCTGCTACTCCAACTTTATGCTTTTGCTATCTCGTTAAAACCCAACATTCACTATCATATAATATTGCTGGTCTTATAGCAGTTTGATAAAACTTCCCTTTAATTAAACCATAACTCCATAATGATTCAGGCACAACCAGCAAATATTACAGACCAAAATATATACCCAACATCCGCACACAAAACAACTCCAACCCAAAAGGTCACGTCTACCAAATTTTTACGTGATGTCATCTGCCACTGTTTTTCATAACTCCAAGTTTATCCACATCCACCACTTCATAGTGAAGAAAAAAAACACCAACAAGAGAACAATACAAGCTCGTTCAATAACATGGACAATACCTGTGCAATGGTAAAAGTGAGACCGCTTTACACCAATAGGTAATTCATACATGATATTCTCTCCTCATAAAAAAAATGGAAAAAAAAATTCTTAAATTAATACCATGTCCTTCTCTTAATACATAAGTACCAAGACCTTACTGCAACTTGTTTCTCTATCAGAATCTTATAAGTAACAGCCTCATAATACCAAATTAAGGAATATTTCATATGCTGCTGCTTCTTTTAATCTGAATTTGTCATATGCTTCGGTTGTACAATTAAATTCAGGAATGATTGATTGATGAGGTGAAAAAATATCATTTTTCAGGCACATTATTCTTTTTCCATTTTTAAAAATAAATATTTCACTAATGATAATTAACATTGATAGCAATACTAATCCTTAAAATACAATTAAGATGTGAGAGTACAAACCTTAACTTGCAACTGCTATTCTTTTGATTTCTTTCTTCAATTTTAGCTACATCAATACAGAAAGCTCTTGAATTTATTGTTTGTCGAACCTAAATTGTCGTAATGATTTTCCTTGTTCAACAATTCTTCAAGTAATATAATCATCAAATGATATATTGATATGATTCATATGAAAGGTTCCATGTCACAAATCAGATCCATATTTTATAACAGAGGAGAGGAGAAATAATCGATACACACAACAACTCCCCCAAAATAACAGCTTGAGCTACCACGGAATGAAGGTTAAATGGAAACCGTAATAACTAAATGGGTAAAGAAAGTCACAAATAGAAGCATAAGCATAAACGACATTCGCCAATGCATTAAAATCGAATTAAAAAAAACACAGGACTGAACAAGAAATGTACCTCCGGCAGCCGCAAAACCTTCGGCATAGGTTTCGGATTCCACCATAAATTCGAGACACAATTCACCTTCCTTCCTGAAGAACTAACCAAACCGCCGCCGATGCAGCACGGCCGACAATTCAGTACCGTCGACATTATGCCGGGAAATTCACCGTCGCGACGGCGCACAACTGCAGCTTGCAAGTGAAATTGAAAGGGAAGGAAAGAGAAATGGAAGAATCAGATCAGGAAAAGGAATCAAGAGAGAGAACGGAGACACCGAAAAGATTCGGTGTTCCGAAACTCACGTGGCTGTGAATCAGAGAGACATGAATGCAGACTTGTTTGTTCTTAACTCACAGCAAGCGTTAACAAGCAAAAGAACGCGATTTGCTTTTTGCTTTTTCACGTCCAAACCGTTTTTGTGGCACTTGGAAGTTGGAATGTGTAAAAAGTAATGGTGAAAAAGACCTATACCGTCCAACGCTCAACGACTTCGGACCAGACATTTTTTTCCCCTGGGACCTGACGCCGTCCAACTCTTGAATGTCTTGTTATTGCAGTTGTTGTAACTTGTAATTACTGTTGTTGCCAGTATAAATTATTATTCAATTATCAATTACTAAATCAATATATATATGATAAAACTAGATAAATTATTAAAATATATAGAAAGTACAACAAATTTTTGTACAAATATGACACTCGTAATATAATTGTTAAAGAAAATTTTAATTGAGGATATGAGAAGACACATAATTTCTAGTGGATCTCTAAATATTTTAAAACTTTAATTCAATCCTCCAAAATTAAATTGAAAATAAATTAAATGCGAAAAAGATAAAAATATCTTCAATTCAAATATTAAAAAAACTACTAACCACTGTCATTGGAGCACTACCATAAGTAGCCGGCGCCTCGCTAGCGACGACACCAGAGCTTTGGCCACCAACAATGGCTAGAGAATTAAACCTATTTGTGCATTATTCAAATTCTCTAAAGGTGGCAGTGGTGGGTGTAGAACCTACAACCCCTTGGCTTACTAAAAAGTTTTAGACCATCAACTCATTGAACTTATTTAATTATATAATGCATACAATTATATGTGTAATAAACCTATTTCCAAACCACTTGATTATTACATTACATATTAATCTCATAACTATACTTGTTAATATCTTAATCAGACTTATCAATTACTTAACTTGTTAAGTTTATGACTCCCATAACAGAACTACATTACTTGTTAATCACCTAACTGTACTTGTTAATACTTTAACAGGATTTGTTAATTACTTGAATTTACTTGTCAAATCTATGACTCCTCTAACTGAACTGCATTATTTGTTAATCTTGTAACTTTACTTATTAATATGCAACAATACTTGTTAATCGCGTATCTTAACTTGTTAATACCACAACAAAATTTATTTACTTATTAATTGTATAACTTTATTTGTTAATTTCTCAACAATACTTGTTAATTGTATATTATCACTTGTTAAATGAACATATAATTTATATAAAAAATTGAGTTTTCTAGATAATGAAAACAATAACAATCAGGTCTCCCTTATTAGTATTCAACAAACTAGATACTCAATTATATAAGCATATATATATAGAGAGAGAGAGAGCAATACCCCAAAAAACAAATATAATGTTAACAATTACAATTGAAGAAATGACAAGCTATATTAGGCTATTAACAAGTATATTTCTTGTCATAATATTCAAAAGGTTTGAAAGTAAGATTTATTATAAAAATAATTTTGAGGGAGTCACAAAATTAACAAGTAAAGTTGCGTCATTAACAAGTCAAGCTACATCATTAACAAGTATTGTTGCGTAATTAACAAGTAAAGTTACATGATTAACAAATAATGCAATTCAGTTGAAGGAGTGATGAATTTCACAAGTAAATTTAAATAATTAACAAGTCCTGTTAAAATATTAACAAGTACAATTATGTGATTAACAAGTAATATATTTCTGTTGTAAAAGTCACGGACTTAATAAAGAAAGTTAAATAATTGACACCCCATTAAGATATTAACAAATATAGTTATGTGATCCAAGTAATATAGTTATGTTGCAGGAATCATGGGGTTAATAAGGAAATTTAAGTAATTAACAAGTCATGTTAAGGTATTAATAAGTAAAGTTACGTGATTAACAAATAACGTGATAATTAAGTGGTTTAGAAACAAGGTTTATTATATATATAATTTTATACATTATGTGATAAAATGAGTTCAATTGAGCTCCAGCAACAGTGGCTAGTAGTTTTTTTTAATATTTAAATTGAGGGTATTTTTGGCTTTTTGAATTTAATTTATTTTCAATTTAATTTTGGAGGACTAAACTAAAATTTTAGAATCTTTAGGGACCTACCAAAAATTATGTGTCTTCCCAGGTCCTTAACTGAAATTCTCCTTAATTATTACCAATGTCAAAGAAAAAAAATTTTCTACTAAAAGATCATGTGGGACCGGCAAGTGTGAGATCTATCACAAAAAATGATACTCCTTTCATTCAAAAATATAAAACATTTTTAATTTTTTGAAGTGTAATCATTGTCCTTTTTCGAAAGTGCCCCTGTTAATGAATGACTTTATATTTATTGTAAAGTATTTAATAGGATAAATATAAAAAGATAGGGTTAGTTTGAAAGTAGATAATTACTTTATTAGAAGGTGAAATTTGGTTAAAAATGTCTTGTATTTTTTAATGGAGGGAGTAATAAATGTATATATTTAATAGAAGTAAAATTACAATTAAAATTATACGTGAAAGCCTATTAAAAACATTTATGCTACTATGTGCTTCAAAGTTAATTATATGACATTGATAAATATACTTTCCATTACATACTTCCAATATCAAAGTGTATTTACATTTAATATCTGTCTTAAGTAAAATTATCTAACACCTATACACAAGAAAAAAATTATTTCCACAAGAATAATTCTTTTTTTATAATTTATATATATCATTCTACTAAAGACAATCTTATTTGAGACATGATTTTTTAGTTAGAATATGAACATTGGTTCTTCAAATTATAAGAGACTAACCCCTAATTTCACAAGAATAATTCTAGTTAAAGAAAAATAGAAGAAAAGGCATTTTTCATAAAATACTTTGTATTCACTCTATTTAAAAATGTAAGGCATTTTTAGTTTTTAAGTTGTAATTATTGTCTTTTTTTCAAAAGTGTCCTTATTGATAATGACTTTATATTTATTGTAGAGTATTTAATAGGAGCAAACGTGAAAAGATAGAGTTAGTTTGAAAGTAAGTAATTACTTTATTTAAGGTGAGATTCAGTTAAAAATACCTTACATTTTTAAATGGAGGGAGTAGTTTTTTTTTTCTTGAAAAAAACAGACTGGGTTTCATATATTACATGGGTTTGATTTAAGAAAATTGAGAGAAGTAATATAGATAACAACATTTACAAAATTCTAATTTCAATAATAATGTGTGTTGTTAGACAAAATAAAGACAACAAACACTTGTTTAATTGAAACTTGAATGATAGTATTTCAGCCTTCGAGTACATTTGTTGTGCAACTGATACTAATAATATAGCAAACCCCCTTACATTGATCTGAATTTGCCAAATTGACATAAAATTTTATGTAAATAAATGTTATCTTCTTATAAATACATCATCCTGTTTTTATCCCCGTCATTGCTTTTCTCTTCAAACTTCCAAATCAATATATGAGTTAAAGCGTAATGTCTGATTAAAAACAATCTCCATTTTAAACCCAGCTACTTCAATTAAATTATATATCATTAAATCATAACAATTGCCCACTAAAACTCTTTCCTCAAAACCTTGTAACCACATGATAAAAAAATGACTCTAAATCTTCAAGTGTGTCAGCAGATTATCATGGGCATGAAAGTTGGCATTAAACTGTTTGCCAAATAAAAAATAATAACAATAATAACAAAGAAAAACAGGAGAGAATTATATACAAACCCCACACAATACATTTAAATACTAGACGGTCCATTGATAATTTAGCAAAGGAAAATAATAACGTTGTTAGCTTGTAGCATTTAATTGTATTGTTTGGAATTTCAAAGTAATTCTTTCTTATGTTAAATTTACACATAAGAAAATTAATTATTATAAGATCCATTAATAGCTGAACTAAAGCCATTGACTATAACTTTAGTTCTGTTGTTAATGAATATTTCTTGTGTGAAACCTATAGGTAATTCTCCAAAATAAAAAAAATTACATTATATGGAATCAATTAAAGCAACGAAGCAATGAATAAACAGTCTTTCCAAGGATATGCGCTGTCCTCAGAGCCTTGTAACCACATGATCGAAGACTGAATCTTCCAAATGTGCCAACAGATTATCTTGATCCCGAATGTGGGCTTAAGTTTTTTTTTTTTAAAGAAACTATCAAATTAAACTTTCCCTATTGGGGCCCTGAAATGTTCTTCATACAAATATGGCTTAAGTTTTGCCAAATTAAGATACAAAAATGCTATGTGAAATCAATCTAACCAATCAAGTATTTCTAAAACTCAGGTCCCGTTTGGTTACTAGAAAGAAATAAAATGAAATGAATTAAAAAAATCAAGACAAAAATAAACTAAATCACCATTCCTCTCATTGTAAGCATGATAAAAAAAAAACTTATTAATATATACTACAAATGTGAGAATCATCACACCTTCCAGAAATCTCATAAATTATGATTCTCAACTCCATGTATTAAATTACCAATCTTTCTTATGAATGTATTCACATATCTCCTTCAATCATCTTATTTTTACTTTTATTTTTTCAATCCATTTCATTACATTCTTTTTTAGTAGCAAAATCTTCAAGGGTGATGATAACTCATTCATTTCAAAACCATTCCCATAATCTCTCATTAATGTGTAAATAGTCATTTCTTTTAAATTAGAATGAAGAGGCAGCCAAAATTGAATTGGGAATATATGAAATTTTTTCTACAATTAAAATTTTCAATTGTAGTAACTATTTTCATTTCAAAACCATTTCCATAATTACAACATTTTATATTTGTATATAAAGATGATTAGGAAGATGTAAACAATAATAGATGAAGAACAAAACTTTAGTAACCTTTAAACTCATCCATCATATAAATGTTTTTGCAAGAGAGTGGAAAATAACAATTTATTTAGACCACCCGATCAAAGAGAGAATTATTTGAAAAATATTTCCATTAATAAGTGCCTTCAACGATTTCTCCTTCCGAGGCATATATGGAGGATACCTTATGGTATATATGGAGGATACCTTATGGTTGAATCTGCATCAAAACTTCTATATAATACTTATTTCTTATGGCTAAACCCATCAAAAGAGAATTTCCCATGGTATGATCCCAGCCCACTCTCTTCCGCTCCTCCAAATGGTAATCCTTAATTTGCAACTTGCATACACGTTATCAATCTTAGATTCTTAGTGTACACAATAACATCTGATAATGCCATGAAACAATGTTGTCATGTTGAAGAAAAAAAGGGATATTTTCTTTAAAAGATTTATATTTGAAATAATCAATATTGTAGAAGTGCCCAAGAGAAGGGTCAATTGGGCTAATTAAAAATTTTGATAAATAATAGATAAGAGAAGGAACAATATCACTAAATATGCTGAGAGTGATAGAGAAAGAAGTGTACAAGTATTTATCTTGGTTTAGCTCTAACTACATGAGCCTACGTCAAATTCCCAAGCTTCACTTGAGATTTACTCCACTAAGTCCATCAAGATAAATTCAGCCTCTTGGTTGCCTTAATACAATCTCAAACAATAAGCCTAAATTACTCTCCTTTACAAAGGTAATGATTAACCCTACTTAAGCTCCCTAAGCTTAAGTCTTCTATTTTCAAGTATGAAAAATAAGGATAAATAAAGTAGGTTTACAAAGTAAACTTCTAGTATGAATACTCTCTCAAAGAGTTGCTTTACAGCCAATGAAGTGGAGAATGTTTGTGAAAATAGTACTGATACTCACTTAGGTAGTGTTATCGTAAACCTAATGTGTTGATGTCAAGTAAATGAAATTGTGAAATGAATGAGCATATTATATTGCATGATTGTTTGATGGGAGTTTGCCTAAGAAGAGGAGTAGATAAACTCTATATGGTATTTATGGCTCCACTTACTTGTTGAGGAGACTAGCTTAGGATATATGACATCCTAGAGATTCAGGAATGGGGGAAGCAGTGTTTTGAGAGTGAGAGCTATGATCTTTGGTCAGATCACACCTCACAATTGGTAAGCTTGGGTAGTTCAGTCACACAGATGAAGCCCTAATAGATATTATAGTCTACAGTTTTAGTTGGAAGAAACAAGGAGAATAGGGAGATATTGATCATGCATATAAGTGTATCTGACATGTTACTTTATTGATAAGTTTGTGGCAAATTGTTATAGTTAATGTGCCATTGTCACATGGTTGTCTATATTGTGGCAATATGCATTGAGATTGTAGTTGGATCATTGTAACATGTTTGTTAGTACTGTGGCAATGTACCTTAAGATTTGAAACATGAACTATGAAAATGAGTTTAACTGTGAAAATTATAGCTTGTATGATGCGTAATCTCATATTTTTGAATATCCACTCCCATTTATGTATTTTAAATCAATTGATATGTAATTACATAAGATAGACGTATCTTAGTTACTAAATGGTTGTACTCACCCTTCTTTTTTAATATTTTTCAGGCTTTAGTTTCGTTGTGAAAAGGGAAAAGGCTCTAAAGGCTTATAAATCTATGATTCCTATTGTAAAGCCTTTTGACTTCATTTATTTTGTGTAATAGTTATTATATTGCTAATTAGATTGCATTTTGCATGCACTTACACTTACTTTTATTTATGATTTTGGAATGTATTTTGGGCCCTAGAATATTGTAAGTAAGTTTGATCACATGTTAATAGGGTCAAAATATTAGTACAAGTGTAAGGATTATGATTATATGTTTGCAAATGAGATTAAAGGATTTATGTAATGCTAAAACCTTACCCTTTTTATTTTTGGTGTTAGGAGGTTGAGGAGTGAAAATTTGATAATATTGAGTATATGTGTATGTGGTGTGTTATACAGGTAGTGTAATGACCCTAGATTTAAAATTAAAAAAATAATAAATCAATAATATTTATTTCTAATTGATATTTCATTTAAATTAGTTTTATAGTGTATGGAGAGAAGTAATTTAATAGAATTTATGTTAGTAACTTTCTTGAAAGTTCAAAATTTGAATTTTATTGAGCAAAAGTTTGATTTTATTTTGTTTTAAATTATAAAAAAAATTTTGTACATTTTCTTGTAATTTTCATTGTGTCCTTTTTTGTAATTTTTTTAAATTAATACCATTTGCTTTTCCTCCTCCACTGCCATTGAACAGTAGAAAGTAATGATAGAGTTTGAAATTAAATATGTGCCCTTGTTCTTACTGTAACTCCACAAAAATATCTAGGGGTTTATTGTAATTTTCTCAATGGCCTTCATTGTATATGATTTTGCTCCTCTCTTCTCTTCTTCCTGTCACAGTCCCCTCAATCTCGCCATGGTATTATCACCCCTCACCACCGGCAGTCCATCCTTTCTTTTTCCCTCTTTCGCTCGTCTACCTCTATGGAGTTGAGTAGTTAAATTCTTCCTCTGTTTTGTCTTTGCTGTGGGTTGATGATGGTATACGAGGGTGTTTAAATTTCATCTTCCTCCTTCGTTCTTAGCATCTCTGGTGAGGGAGATTAGGATTTTATGTGGGCTGCCATTCTTCTTCTTTTGCTTTTTCGGTGAAGGTTTGTTCGAGCTTTCAATCTGCAGCCTCAGGCGTCGCCTCCTTCTTCGCTGTTACAGCTGTCAATGCTACCATAGGTGAGCTTGAAAGCTTCATTCACCAGGTTTTAAAACTGATGCTGTTATGCGAGTTAGTGTGATTGCTGTATGAGTTTTTAATGGTAGTTGCCTCTTTCCCTGTACCATCGTTGCCATTTTTTCTATCTATGTTTGCTTCAAGTGCGTCTAGTCTTTCTCTCCCTGCTCCTTGTTTGTTTTGTGTGTGTTTGAATAATGAAAAATTTTAATTTGTTACTTCTTTTTCTTACTGCCGTGAAGAATGGGGGAGATGGAGATTTAATTTCCTTGAGTTATGATTAATTAAAAAAAAACTTAGGAGGCTGATTTATTTAAATATTGATGTTAAGAGAATTTCTAGAAATGGAAGTCAATGGGAAGAAGTTTGATATTAGGTTACGGATTAATGCTCATGAGGTGTTCGGTGAAATGCCTGTTAGGAGAATTTTGCTTGATTATGCATTTTATGGAATCTTGTTAATTAGGGTGAGAAGCATGACTGATTCAAGTTCTATTTAGTTGAGATTTAACTTGAACATTACAAAGAAGTTGATTTTAAGGTATTGTATGGTTAGTTGAATTTTTGAAAGTTCCATGTTAGGTAATCTATAACTATGGTATTGTTTTATCATTCGGTCTTGAGAATGCTAAGAATGCATTTAAAGTGTTAGATAAAAATAAGTGAATGAAGAATGATGAAGTTCATTATAGGTGATGAATACAAACTAGAGTATTGTTTTACAACCTAAATTGGGAATATATCTGAGTTATTTAATAAAATGAGCAACACATGAATGGTGGACTGATAGAGTTTTTGCTAAAGGTCTGATACACACTTTTAATTGATAATTAGGTATGGGAAGTTCTGGGATATAAATGATGCTGTTGGGAACATTGAATTACTTGGATTAAATATTGGTTGTGTTAATGTTAAAAGAGGATTCATTGAACTTATGGAAAGTTATTTAGACATTATTATTTTTATATATTTTTACATTTTTATATGATGTTTGGAAGAAAAGAGACTTATTGAGGTTGTAAGGAGTGAATTTTAAATATTAGCAGCTCTAAGGGTAAGTAGATAACGTCCCAATCAATTTATATATTTGAAAATTTTTTTTATTAACTATTATTTTCAATAATTTATAGTCATTAATATATGCCACTCAACATTGATTAATGTTGTTGATTAAATTTCTTTAGCTCTTGAAGTTATCATGATTTATACTTATAAGATTGGCAAAATTTTTTTATAAATTCTAGTACTCTTTTATTCAATAAAGACAATCATGGAAATGGGTGAAAAAGTTTATGAAACATTAGTTGTGAATTTTCATATTTTAAAGGATTGATATTTTAAACAGTTCATGCGAGTTTGATTTTGAGAATGAGAACTGTATCTTAAAAGTGATGATTTTCTCGTATGTTGTAAAATGGTTTTAAAAAGGGACTTTATACAGAACACTGGTTGCTAACGGTAGTTCTGTTGGCCCTTGACGTGTCATGGTACACCTAGCTAGCAGGGTGTTTATAGGAGGTGCTAGCCCCATGCGATGGCCAATGCATGTGGATCGGAGGGATGGTTATTCGTGAGTATCATACTCACATTTGTTTCGTGGCACTGGCTACATTTGGTTTGTATTACCCTCATGGACTGTGTGTCCACGTTTGTTTTGTGGCTTCGACTGCGTTTGGTTACTTACTTTCATGGATTGTGTGTCCACGTTTGTTAATTATTCTGATAAGTCCCTATAAATATAAATTTGATTACTTGGTGATTTTATATTTGATTGGTTTTAATTAGTAATTTAGTTTGTTTATTTGCTTCTTTGAAAGCAAGTGATAATAACACTTGATATGAAAATTAAGCAATTCAAAATTTTGTTTAAAGCTATATAGATTTTTTTTTCAAAATTTATTAAATTTTTATCAAAATCATTGTCTCTTTAACTTGCATAATTGTTTTAATTTTTTCTTTTATTTATCTTAAAATTTATTTATTTATTGTTAGGATGTTATTCACTGAAAATAAATTTTTGTCTCAAATAATATAATTGATGATCTATCATTTTACTGATTTGTGAGGGATTCTTTGTTGAATTGAGGAGAAGACCTTTTGAGTATATCTTTCTTGCATTGTAAATGGTTAATTAGTTGTTATATTTTAAAATTTTAATTAGGTATGCCCCAGGTTAACTACAGATAAGATTTTGATTTATAATATATTTGTCTATTTATTGCGAAAGAGCAGAACTTCACATTTTTTTATTTGGACTGTATATTTTTGTTGTAGAGACTTCAAGAGGTCCTATTTAGAGGGGAGATTCTGGCGAATTTTTTTAAAAAGTTTATGAATCATTTGTTTATATGAAAATGTCACAATTATCTTCCATCATATTTCAAATAAATTAAAATACTATATTAAAGTTTCCTTGATCAAGGCTTAAGGGATGTATATTTGTTTATATATCCTGTGCAGGTCACGTTTAATTTTCGGGGCGTGACAAGTAGTCCTAAATTCTTTAAGTGTGCTGCGGGGGTTAGATATAGCTTTTGGTGCAAATATGAGTTTTTGGACACCTTTGAGTTGTGAAAAGTCAATAATGTTGCAAAAATTGTGTTGGGTGTTGTTCACCGTCAAGCATTACCACAAGTGTACGAGTTATCACAAGTATAAATAGTTTTTCAAAGTTATCGTTCCCATGAGGATTTAGACAATAGAGAGTTAAAAATTCACTATTAAGCTTTGGATTAGATTGAGCAAAATCAAGAGTAAGTTTGTGTGGAAGTAATAAAAATTAGATTAAAAATGTTTAAACAATTAAAATTTGTTGAAACGTTGACTTCAAGAATGAGGATCTATGATTATCTCTCCCTTTTATATTTCATTAAACTTAAAGTTAATTCCTCTCAAATAGATTTTTAATAAAAATAAGTATTAGTTTAAGATTTTAATTTACTTGAAAAAGCTTTCTCAAGTCAAAATTAAGTATATTTGCAAACATTAAAATTTCACAATTTCTTGGAAATAACGAGTGAAAATAATTTTTAAGCTACAATCTTAATGAGACTATGAATAATTAATAAAATATCTCTATTTTACCAACAAAACTATCCATTTGTCTTTGTAGATTTGAAGTTCAACACTATTTTGTCCAAGTTCTACACCTAAATTGGCTCTCTCAAACATAACTTAAGTGAATAAAACAATCTAAATGGTGATCAAGCATTCAAAAGCATTAAGCATAGGATAAAATAAACACATATATATCATTAATTACCAAAAGAGAGGAATATTGAAGCCTTAATCCATACAAAGATTCGAAATAATCCTAAGGCAAGAGAACTAGCTACTCATGTTCAGAAAATAGCCTCAAATGAAAAAAATGTGCAACATCTATATCAAAAACAAAGAGAGAAAAGTGAAGAGAAGAAAAAAACCAAAGGAAATCTACTTGAATCTCTTCAAATCTTCAATTCTTGGCCAAATCTCTCTCAAGAACCTAAACCCTGGCAGAGCAAGCCTAAAAAAAAACTCTGGAAGTCACAACTCTCTCTTCAAAGTGTAAGAATTTCACATATGTAACCCTTGCTTCAAATTTGATTCCAAAACGCATAGTTTTAGTGAAGAGCTTTTGGCTGCAGCTAATTATTCCTTGACTACAGCCAAAACCTCTCGGCCAAGACTTTGGTTGTAGTCAATTCTTCCTTAGTTATGGCCAAAACGCATCAGCGGCATTTTGTTTATGGCTTTCGGTGGAGGCTGAAAGTGATTGGGCTAAGGTTTAATTCTTCACTCTTTGTCTTATTTTTTTTTCTTGATGTAATAACTTTATAACTCCTTCTTTGCTTCTCAAATAATGTTCCAACAATCTAAGAAAGCAAGAAATTTTGTGAAGTCCAAGATTAATTATACTAAGATAAAAAATTATACACAATTTACACCAAGATTGCCATTTGAACCCAAGTGCGAGATATACACTTTTTCCTATTATATATATCAAAAGTAAGAATAATTTCATCAAAGAGCATATGAAATTGTAAGAAAATGTGCTGAGATAACATAAATTTCTATACCTTATCACACCTCTAAACTTAGATTTTTACTCATCCTTGAGTAAAACAAGAAGTAAAATAGCTAAATTAATAGATTATCCATCTACCAAGCATGCATGATTTTGTCCTCATTAGTTGCTCAAGTAAGTATGCTAGATAGGAAGAAAGTAGAACATCAATGAATGCATGATTCATAAAATTAAAGCTACTTTTCAACAATTTTGAAGTGTGAGTGTGTGAATAGAGTCAAGACTTATTTATCCTACAATTGTCAAAGTCAACAACATCATTTCAACTTGTATAAAGCAATTCCGATTAATAGAATTTCCACACCCAACTTCTCCTTATCTCTCCACCCATAAGTTATCTCACTGGATTTAAAAATCAAAGGGATTTTATAAGCTTATAATGTAGACAGGGGTAAAGGCAATTGAAATAATAGGATTAAGGAATAAATCAAATACTTTAAGATAAATGCACTTAAGTTCTTTCTCCTTGAACAAACAAATTTTCTTTAACTACAAAAGTACCCTCTCCTAAACTTGAACTAAATTGATTTTCTAAACTAAGCTTTATTGAATTCAAAATGCACCATTTTGTGTGTGTGTGTGTGTGTGTGTGTTTCTCTTCTATTCTTTTATTTTCTTTTTATTTCTTTCTTCTTTTTTTTAATTAAGCACAGCTTGGATTACAAATGATTCACAATTTCTTCCACATCATCTATTCCTAACTAAGAGCAGTGTAACTCATCAACCACAACCACTTCTAATCACCTATCACAAATATACATTCATCTCAAAGCTAAGGTAATTCATAGTTTTTCAGGCTTATAAGGTTTAGATTTCATGTGGATAGCCAAAAGAATTTATTAAATTGTTTTTTAGGCTTAAATTATGGGTTCAAAAGGATAAAATTAACTTAGGTTGGCTTAAAAGGCTCAAACACATTTAAAGATGGCCTTAATC